TTAAATATCTATTGTTTCCAATGTTCCCAAGAACATTTAAAAAAATTAGGAACACTAAATTTAAAAATTAAAACAAATTGGGAACATAAAATTAATAATTTATGTTCCCATTATTTAATTTTATTTATTGTATTAATTTAGATTGTTAGAAATTTTTTAGGAATGTTCCCAGAATATAAAAAAAAATTACCGCTTCGACCTCAACAGTTCCCATTTCCTAGTTTATAATAAGCACCCAATCACCCAATCACAATGCTACGCATTAACTATTTTAGAATTGACTGTTCTTTTTCATACAGTAAATGAGGTAAATTAAAGAACGCCAATAAATCAATAAATTAGAAAAATTTATAAAAATATATTAACTATAAATCTAAATTATCCCAACACTCTAAATTCTATGGAATGTTGTTGGTCTATTCCTAAATACCCATCACTAATTAAAAAAGCAGTATAAGTATATTTGCCCTCCTGCTTCGGCGCGATAAATTTCAATTTCGACTGAGTTTTTTTCATGAATGTGCCCGATGTTCCACCACGCATATTTACTCTTTTCAAATCAATTATGGTGTCAGAGTTGGAATCGCCTAACAAAATCCACCATGACTCATACTGAGGTTTCGGAAATCGGGGGGAATATATCCTTCCATCATAATCTGATTTCAACTTAAACCTTTCCATAGATACCGAAAGTGTATATTCAGTTTCAGGTGTTAATGATTCATTATTTGTATCTATATGACAACTGATTTCTATCGATGGAATATTTGATATGATTTTACAGATCTATAACAATGAAAAATAAATAAGTGATATTCGACAAGCAATCAATGAAAATTAAATGCCAACCTTTTGAACTTCAGACTCTGAAAGATTAACGCTTCTGAATAGCTCTATTAGTTCTTCTTCAGAGAGATCCGTCAATTCGCCGATACAAGCGATAGTTCGACCCTAAAAAAAATTTATAATAAAGACTTATCATTTAGAAAGGCAAATTATCAATGTAATATTCTTTACCTTATGTGACAATGAGCCAATCATCTGACTGGCAATTCCGGGCAATGTTAATAATGAAGATTCATCTGGCCAGCGGGCTTGTTTAATACATTGCACTAAAGTCATAATATTTAAGCATGTCGCTAAAGTTTTTCGTTCGACAGAGATGTCAATCATTGCCTTAAGAAAAAAATAATAAAATAAAATAAAATAAGGTGAAATAAAATAAATTAAAATAAATTAAAATTGAACTATCGCTGTTTTCGAAATGGTTGAAAATGGCAAATAAAAATTTTTTTGAGTATATCCGTATACTCATATATCGGATTACCTTAGCACGTTGATTGAAGATCTATGTTTGATTACTTATGTACTTATTGTTTGAAACAATAACGATAAGTAAATCAAACATCAATCTTCAATCAATAATCCAGCATACGAGTATACTGCGTATACTCGTATACCAGAAAAATTTTTTTTACTCATTTCTACCATTTCGAAAACCGCGATAAAAAAAAGTCATTTCTACAGAAATATTCTCTCTAACCTGTGAAATACGAATTGCTTGATCCAATACAGACAGAGTATCAGTAACATAATCAGCTATAGGTAATTTGATTCTAGCAAAATGTGCTTGAAGTAATAAAAAGGCTTTGGCATGCGGACTGTCATACGGTTGTTGAAATTGTACAGGCCATAGGAGATCCATTTCCAAATCTCGATTTTGTAGATCCTCATTATGACGTACTGGAAGTTCAGAATATTCTTCAGAATCACAAAGAATATTCAAGAGGTCTCGAATAGATGAATCGTTTTTGATGCGATTACGAAAGAGACGTATCGTTTTATGTGAGAGATAATAATTCGACGCAATTTTTCCAAAAATAGTTGTAATAATGTTTTCGTAATCTTCGTCAAATTCAACACATCCAGAAATGTTAAGTTCGCCCATTGACTTTTCAAACATTTTAGACAGAAAATCATCTATTGCCTTTTCAGAATTTTCCTCTAAACTGTAATAAGCTGGGTTTTGTCGTAGTCTTCTATAAAAATACGTGCAAACAAGGTATCGCATCGCATCTTGTTTTGATTTGATGCTATTTGACATTATTTCTGCGTTTAAATGGTTTTCAAGTTGCATATGTAAACTGGATTCAACTGGAAATGGTTCGTATAAAAATTTCTGATAGAATGTCTTTTTTGAATCCTGAACAAAAATGCATGCCACACCGCTATTATCGAACTGCGGACGGCCTAATTAAAAAAATAAAACAAAATTGTGATACATTGATCTTAAGGATAGATAAGTTAAGGTTGTTATATTAAATGTTTATACCTGCTCTTCCCATCATTTGAAGTACATCGGTTATAGGAAAGTCAACATATCCTTTGGATTTTCCGTCATAATATTCAGTACCTTTAATTATTACAAGATGGGCCGGTAGATTCACACCCCATGCCAATGTACTTGTAGCAACAAGTACTTGAATCTTTTGATGCAAAAAAAGTTCTTCTACAATTTTCCTATCGTTTTCTACTAGTCCAGCATGATGCAATCCGATTCCGAAAGCAAGCGACATTTTCATACTACTATCATTAATTTGAGCAAGTATCATTTGTAATTCTTCGTCTTGCATTTTTAAAAAATGATGTGGATTATCGGTCATGCAAGCATACGCGATTAAATCCTGTGCGGTTAAACGTGTTTGCCTACGTGATGAGACAAAAACGATAACAGGTTTTTGAGGGGAATGACACATGATCTTTGCAAAGGCTGGTTTATTCATAGTAGCCATACTAGGACAATAATGTCTTCCAGAAAAACCTTCTATTTCAATCTCCAAAGGCACACGACGCACTGAATGACTAAAATTGAACAGTCCATCTTTTTCAATATTTAGCCAATCTGCTAAATCTTTGGCATTTGCAAGAGCTGTCGAGAGCCCAACAATACGCACTTTCCTATCAGTTTGTGATCCGATGTAATTCATACGTGATACGATCGCCTCTAATATAGGTCCACGATCACCTCCAAGTAAATGAATTTCATCAATGATTACAAGTGAGACTGCTTGCACGTAATTTCGATGTTGCCAACTACGACTAATCCCATCCCATTTTTCTGGTGTCGTTATAATTATATCAGCTTTCTCAATAGATCTTAGGTCCGGGGTTACATCGCCGGTCAATTCTACAAGCTTTCTCTTCGTTGGCCCGATTAATCTAGTTTGCCAGTCATCTACACGTTCTCGGACAAGCGCTTTTAATGGTGCAATGTAAACAACTTTAGACCGTGGAAATTCTCGAAATGCCCACCTAATAAAAATAAAAATTAAGAATTATGGTAATGATTTAAATTATTCTATTTACGTTCAATATTTACCACATAGCGAGTTCAGCTGTAACGGTTTTACCAGAACCTGTTGGTGCACCAATCAATACATTATTTGAAGTCTTGTACAAAATATCGAAGACTTGCGTTTGCACAGGATTGAAATGAGAAAACCTTTGTGCATATATACTTTCAAGGATACTATCATTAAGGCTAGATATAGGTAAAGGTGGAAGATTTAACAATTCTGTATGCTGATGGATATTATCAGGCAATATAAGATTTTGCAAAGAAATTGGATGAATAGTTTCTGCTCCAATCCACCTATCTGAAACAACTTTTATAAAAATTTGAGGAGGAAGTGGTTCTTGAATTGGAATGGCAAAACAAACTTTCTGTGTTTCGCCAAGTTGTTTTTTATTTAGTATGAAATACTCTGAGTGATAAAGATCTGCCTTCTCAGCATCTTCAACAAATATCCACCAAGGTTCTACTGTACCATGAACTCGCTCATTCCAAACAAAGTCAGGTGTAATACTGAGAGTTACACGTAAAACATTACGTGTAATTGGAGCGACCTGAGTATCAAGATTGAGTAGAGGAAATTGGTCTACACATTTAGAGAGTGTTGAACCCATACGCGTGTTGCGTACAAGTTGTCCAAGTTCAGCTGGGCTCATATCTCGCATTCTTTCAATGCTCGGTTGTTGCGGAAGAGATTCAAGTTTGAGACAAATTTCTCGTGGCAAGCCAAATTGATACAAGGGAGTCTCAAACATCCACATTTGCTTGTCAATACATTTACTAAATGTCAACAATTGTGACGTCACTTGGCTCATGTTACGATAAAGTGCAATTTCAAATAAGGCTCGAATTATTCTGCTGGCAATCTGAACTACATAAGCTGAGTCCGAGACCAAAGCAAAATCTTCAAGTTTAGCACCAGTCATGTGTGATTGTAATAAAATATTGACTTTCCCTTCTGTAGAATCAACGCCATCCTATTTTATTAGAGGTAAAAATACATAAATTTTCGTCAAAAAATAAAATATCATTAAATTACAATCAATTAATATGAAATTCTTTCATAATATAATACCTTTATTTGACAATGACATACATCCTCTTTAAGTTTTAATAATTCTTTGCTCTCTTCCTCTCTTGCCTTGAGATCCTCAAATTCACTACTTTTGCTTATCATTGATAAAATATCTGCTTCTAGCATGTGCTCTTTTAAGAGCCTATTAAATATTTCAATATTCTTATAACTTATATAATAATTTGATGCAATACGCCCAATGTCTCTGGAACTTAAATATTCACTTTCAGTATTAAATGTAATCATCTCATTTTTATGAAGCTCTTTTGCAGCAGATTCGATAAGCATACGACGTTTTTTACCAAGTTCAGGATCCTCATAGGGCTCCGTGTGATCCATCCCGTAAACAAGAGGATTTTGTTTCATACGAACAAATAAATATGTGTAGCCAAGCCATCTAACACCTTCATCAATTGTTGATACTGTACCAAGCGATATTTCTGCATTTAAATTGTCAATTAGGCTACTGATAAACCTGAAAAAAGGAATCAAAGACGTTACCAATGAAATAATCAATAAATAAGCTTTAATAAATACAGTTTTGATGAATTACCTAGATTCGATAGGATGCTGTTGTGTCATTGCTGATATATAGTTGGGCAGTTTATCATTGGTCGTCAAGATATATCCAATGCCGTAGCTTTCATACTATTAAAGAATATAAATTAACAAAGAAAAAAATATATATATAATGATATTGAAGACTAAAACAATTTCACTACCTGTGGACGACCTGCTCTGCCAAAAATTTGCATCACATCTAAAATAGACAAATCAACGAAACAGCTCTTTTGTGCATCATACACATTAGTACCCTTAATAATAACTGCGTAGGCCGGTAAATTGACACCCCAAGCCAATGTGGCCGTGCAGCATAAAACCTTTCAAAAGACAATAATTGATAATATTAATAATTTATTCATCGTTAGCCCAAAATGATGTTAACATACTTTTAAAAGTCCTTCTTCAAATAAACGCTCGGTCATCAGTCGGTCTGATCTTTGCATACCAGCGTGATGAATACCAAATGAATGAGAAAACAACTCAACCAATTCTTTATTTTTAGATTTTGCGATATCTCGTTTTACCAATTCGATGCGTGGATGTGTAGAATTACTAAATAATTCTATAACGTATGCAAAATTAAAATTACAATATTAAAAAAAACCGCTTGAATAAACAAATTTCAGAAGAATTACCTTCATGTCCATCCTTAATGGCATATTCACGTAATAATTGTGCCGTTTTTACGGTTTCTTTTCGCGCGTGAACAAAAACCATCACTTGATGTCCTTTCTTGACAAGGTCCAATACCTAAAATCAATAAGTATTTGTATAATAATTCACTATTATTTACATTATATCAAATAATTGATGCATGCCTTCTCCCAGCAAACAGTATTAAGGTTGTTATTAGAAATTGCCGACCCAGGTTTTCCTTTTATACCAATAAAATGTTGCTCAAGTGGTACAGGTCTAAATCCTCCGTCAAAATAAAATAAGCCCTCAGCACCATTATTAAGGTTCACACTATAAAATTAGAAACAAAGTTCATTAGGCATATACATGACTAAGGTATAAAGGCAAAAAAGAATGAAATATAAAGTCAAACCCCAAAAATCGAGCCACATCAATATAATTATGCAAAGTCGCTGAAAGACCGACAATACGAATCATTGATTGACTAGATTCAACCTAAATAAACGAAAAAAACATCAATTGATGAAGTGCCGATACATTCAAAATGAAACCTTAAACACTAATGTTAATATACCTGACGACGTGTTCTAGCTACAAGACTTTCAAGAACTGCACCTCGATCGTCATGTAATAAATGTACTTCGTCAATGATAAGCAGCTTAACTTTCTATTTAGATTATCGGTATTATATTAATGTTAATTGGTACATACATATACATTTTAAATACTTTTCAAAAAAAGGGTACAAACTTTTGATAGCTCAGTATCTCCAGTACTCTTTCTTGTCACTACATCCCATTTTTCAGGGGTAGTTACAATGATTTGCGTATTAGAAATTTCTGTCTTCGTTAATTGCATATCACCTATAAGTGGAAACATTAGCAAAAAATAATTTAATGGAATTAATCATAAGTAATTACATGGTATAAACAGGGTCCAATGTTTTTATATAAACGAACCCGTTAATTCTCTCACTTGAATGTCCAACCATTCTAATCTTTTACCAAGTTTTTTCACAATTTCAGCTACTAAAGCTTTCATGGGTGCAACATATACAACTTTGAACTCATTTTTTCTAATCGTGAGTTTTTGTTTTTCTGAAGCTATTGAAGGTTTAGGATCACAATATTGATATAAGATACGGAGAATTGCAAGCATAGCTATGTCTGTCTTGCCCTGTTTAAAATTAAATTGTTTATTACTATAATAAATAAAGGCAAAATCTTAAACTATTTAATAAATAAATCAAACAACTTACTGCTCCAGTGGGAGCGCAAATTAGCATATTATCGTTTTTCTTATAGGCGACGGGGTAAACAATTGATTGTACACAATTAAGAGATTTATATTTCTAAAAATAAATTAAAATTAAATTAAACTAAATAAAATAATTAAATTCTACTATAGTTAGGTTCAGTGTTGGCAGCACTAGGATAATGGAGCAACTTAAAGCTTTTTATCATATGTAAAATTCTTTATTAAAAATTTTTTTGCAATTATTTTTACATATTGTTAAATTAAAGAGAGATTTACAATAAATTATAAAATTTAATAGCAAAAAATCTTTAATAGAACAATGAAACAATGGAATAGAAGAGCAAAAAAAACCAATAGAGCCAATAGAAGGATATAATTGCCAACGCTAGTAAATTCAATAATAAAAGATCTAAGGCTCTTACTTCAAATGACCCTCTACAAAGATAATCCATTTCTCCTATGGTAACTAATTTTTGTTCTTTTAGCTGTGGTGCTTGTTCCGTGATAGGTATTATTATTTCTTCATTATCCTGTTAAACGTATCAATAATATCAGCTATTTAACCTATAAATCACTAAATCCTTAATGACGTTTCGAAAAGAATTACAAACATACGGTATGACTATATTGTTTGGTGCCAGAGGGTAGGGAATATTTGGTCCCATAGACAGATAAAACACTGCCGGGTTGAGTTTTTCCAAAAACATGCTTGAAACCATCAGAAATAGTTGTCTGAAAAAAATTTGAAAAGATTAGAATTTTCATTATTCAAAAATCAGAGTATAAATTTTGACTTACGCGCTGAGGAAGTAAAGGTAAATCATTTGCAACACGTAATTCCTGTTCTCTAATTGCACGTAACTTATCAACATCAAAGCCTAATATTTTAGCAGATAGAGATTCCTCATCCTCTTTGAAATGTTTAATTACACATAATAATATCAACAAAATTGTAAATATAGGAATTGTAATATCGAAAATTATTTTAAATATATATATATACCAGCACTCCGATGCTTCATCGCCTTTTTATGCTCTTTTTTCATTCGTTTCAATTTTTTTACATCATTTTCAAACTGAACGGTAACTTGAGAACCAAACTGAGGGCGCTTCGGCTCAAATGGTGTTGAATCTAACTGAATGTCCGATTTCTCAATAAAATCCTACTTGATGTACGATATAATTAAAAAAAACCCCCCGAAAAAAAATTTTACTAAATACTAATTAACATACACTATTAACATGCACTAACCATTTGATTCTCGTGAAAATCAGAATTCATGCGTATATTTTCAACAATCTTATTTCGATTTGTTACAAGTGCTGTAACGAAATTAAGGTTCTCATATCCGAGGAGATCAACAAGTTCCGTTTCAATGTCATCTGGTGGTAGAAACAATATTAACTTTATTATCTAGATGAAAATTTCATTGAAATATATATTGTTCACCTTTCTTATTGGACCTCAGTACTGTGAATATATTTGTACATAATTTTATCGGTGTTATAGCACCACCTGCATCTCCAAATGTTGATATATGTGATTCACATTGCCTAATAATATAATTCACTAATTAAAAAATGAATACTGGAGAGAAATCGACAGCCAAGATTGGTTGTAGGCCTACTTTAATAACCATTCCTTGTTGAATGACACGTTTTCATCCTCATGTTGATCATGAATATTATCTAAACCAATATTTTGAATTTCATCGTCAAGATCATTATCAAAAAAATCATCGTAAAAATATGATGTTGGAAGGTCATTGAAGAGAAGATCAGATCCGTATTCGTTCTCTTCGAGATTATCATTAGCTAATGTATATAAAATGGTTCATGTGTATATTAGTAACGACTAAATGAATTGTAAATTAGAGAAAAACGTCTAAAATTACATACAAGTTTGTTGCCATTGAATACTGCATTAATAAGTAATTACAATTTTTTTCTTTTAAAAAAAAGAAGACCCAGTAATTAAAAAAACGAAAAATTGTCTTACTTTTGATTTTGCTGAAGAATTTGCTTAAATTGATTTAAATTGTGTTTCAATTCTTCCTGCGCCTGGTGAATATTTTCCAACAAATTAGTTGCAAAGTCAACCGCTATAACCTTTCCTTTCCCTTTAGCCCCAGAAGACTTGCTTTGAGAATGTGATTTTCGCAATAAGTCAGAAAATCGAAAAAATGCCGGGGAGTTTAAATCCATTTTTCAAAGAGAAAACGAAAGAGATATAGCGCAGTATCAAGTATTGTAGGGGTTGTAGAAATGAATAAATTTCTGATTTTGCAGGGTTTAATTGAAAAAAGTGATTTATCACGTGAATACGATCTATACTAAACTCAGTGTACTTTACATGGGACAAAATTGTACTAGGGTTGCAGTCAAGTCGGTTTTTGAACAGACAAATCTCTTAGCAAATGTCCAATTAAATCATTTGATTCAAGCCTCTAGAAGCTCTTAATTAAATTGTTTCTAATTTTCAAATTAATAAACTAAGACTGTTCAAGCAAGACATAAGTTCATTTACTTAATAGGCTAAATCACTATTTAATTTTTTTTTGAACATGTACAGTAGTATAATTATCACTTTAAAAGTTAATTGGTATTTATAAACTGTTATTCTAGCTTTATTCTTTACTACTATTTCTTAAATATATGTCTTAAGTATACAAGTTTACGTTTTAATAATTTATCAAAGTAAATTCGGGGGGTTTTTTTTTTTAAGAATTTTAATTTGATACACTAGTTATTTATTTAGTGTAATTTAAATATATATTATATATATATCGTAAATCATAGGTATGGTGACTGATAAATTAACGTTACTGTAATATATAACATATAATATATTACAAATGAATAGCACGATAAATTATATATTTTCGATTCCCAAAAACTATCTTTTCTAAGCCAAATGAAATTTGTTTATTTTAAATATATATTTTAAATAAAAAAGTTGCTCCGAATTTGGTTAGATGCTTATGGAGATATTTTCAACAATTCTTAATTTTATATACGGTTTGATTTTTCAAACCTTTGAGTGACGTAACTTGACAACTACCCTACTAAATTTAATGAACTTTTTTTATTTGAATTCTATCCCTTACACCGTCTTACATGCAAATTTGCCTGCAACTTTTTTGACAAATACACTTTTCTGGGCAGATCATACGTATATTGCAATTTAAAGGTACAGTATATAGCGTTATAAGCAAACTGAATCACCCATTCGAGGGCTTTCTACCAATGTCATTTTTGGCAGTGCGTAGACCTTGTACTCTTTGAATTCTTCGATTACTTTTTGAGGCTTTCATGACATTTTAAGATGCTCAACATAGTTTAATTATATCGGAAATAATCGTCAGAACTTAATCCGCATCGAAATTGGGGTCAAACTCGTGATATTTGACTAAGATGATTGGGTATCTGCGTTCCTGCAAATTTGCCTGACGGTGTAAGGGATAAATATGTAGAATTCAAACTAATAAATTTTCATCGAAATTGGTCAGTCGGTTGTCGAGATATCTTCACTCAAATTTTGAAAAAATTTGGCATAGCTTCTATTTTGATGGGCGTTTTGATTTTTCTTTAACTTTGAGTAAAGATATATCTCTACACTCACTTGATCAATTCAATGAAGAATTTTTTAGTTGAATTCTATGGATTTATAGAATTCAAATAAAAAATTTTTATCAAATTCGATCAGCTGGTAGACGAGATATTCTCATTCAAAATTTTTTAAAAAATCAATTTACCTATTAAAAATTATAGCTGCGCCAAATGTTTCTCAAACTTTGAGAAAGATATCTCGGCAACCACCCGACTAAATTCAATGAAAATTTTTTATTCAGAACATATTAATCTATAGAATTCAAATAAAAAAATTTTTATCGAATTTGTTCAGGTGGTTGTTGGGACATCATGCTTTAAAGTTTTCAAACTTTTATTTTAGCGAAGATTATGGTCAGATGACAAAAAGCAAACACAGATTTTTTTAATGATTACATTTTCAAAAATTAGGGTATTGTTCTGGTATGGATAAATGGTTAGAACACGGGTCCGTAGCCAAATGCTTCCGAGCTTGCTGCAGGTTCGAATCCAGCTGGCGCCATGCTCGCCTAGTTCCTCCTGTGCTGAAAAAGCACCCTATGATGTGCAGACTGCCCCAGCCTGAAGTATCAGAATGATACATTTGTTATTCTTTATTTTTTTTTAACGAAATTACAATTTTATAATTTTCCTCTAAAAGCTTATAAGAAACAAGCTTCTCATTATAAATACACACTTTTGAACATAAGCAATTGTCTTGTCTGCTTTCAACGCATTCTTTCAAGTCTGAAGTTTGTGGCGCAAAAACTGGTTTACTAGACACGCCTGAACAAGAGTTTTCAGCAAAGTACATCCTTGAAAGTATTATAGTAGGTAGAGTATCCGTTAATTCGCGTAACTAATATATTAATTTCGTCAATACTTACTATTGTGCTTTTTTTTTTTTACAATAATTAGTTTTATTTGAGATAAGTTATTAAGTTTAAATTATTTTATTTACTTTATTTAATTATTTGAGTTTCTTATAGTATTATTATTATTTTTATTTTTACCTAAGATTCTTGGATGTGAAATACGAATTATATTTAGTTAGAGTAATCGAATTCGCGTCTCCATATTTTTTTTATAGGTCTTTTGAGCAGGGCGTTAGAACCATTAATAATTACATTATGTTGGTGTTCTTAGACTATGTACTGTATTTAAGAGCGAAGGAAGTGATGAAATTAAATTCAAGTGTCATCTGTCCGCAAAATCTTGGATCTTGATGGGTCTGCGTGACTAAAGATGCTGGTGAAATAAAATTAGAATGGTGAAATAATTTCACCACTATTGGTGTTGAATTGGTGAAATTAGTTTCACCGGCATCTCTACGCGTGATCTTATTCATCATGCACTGTTTATTTTCATGTTACTTCATTACACCTTATATATACTGTTTTTTCTATACATATGTTTTTACACGTAGCACATGCGATTAAAGCCCTGTCTCAATTTAACGTTAAAATTACTACGTGTTTGATAATAGTTTGTATCCATTTGCAAGTTAAGATGAACCATTATATCTAAATTTCTATATCTAATGAGGTGAGTTAAGAATGAGTTAGACACTTTATCAGCATTGATTGATTATTAATTTGGTAAATTTGGGAGAAATACCAAATTTTAGCTAGATCGCTCTATGACTGTAAATTCTTAAAAAATATCAATTTTTATCTTACAATATATTTGAAAGGTTACAAATTAGCTAATCGATATAAATCTTTATACACAGGAGGTTACAATTGTATTAAAATTTTTACAAGATCCGTTAATTACAACTTTTGAAAATGCAAAAAATCGTTATTGGACCAGATAAATATCTGATTTACGAAATATTGGAGCCACATACAGTAACTTGTTAAAATTTATTAGCATGCCCCGTTAGCATAGAACATACGCCTATAATAATATATAAATAACTTCTGAAATATATTGCCGTTTAAATTGAATTCAAACGCTTTAATTTAAAATTTGAATATACTCAGAATTAACTTTTGAGTGTATTGAAAAATTTATTCGACTTAAGTGTGGAATCTAAATCTAGCAATATTCTACGTTTTTGACGTACATACAACATATATAGTAAGATGGGACAGAAATAATATCGATACGTATCATTATAAAAATATTTACATTCCAAACTTTAATTATTATATTTAAATGAAGATAGAAATTAAATTTAGATCATTAGTACGCTAAATGCACAATAAGTAAATTCCCGTTTTTTCTCTTTTATATTTAATGAATAAAAAGATTGAATTTGAGTGGTATTTGAAATCTGCTAAAGATGGGAATGTTTGTGTGTTTCATTTCGTAAAGTGCTGTTTCGATTACTCGAAGTTGCACGAATATCTGCGAAAACGTGAACATGTAATTTTCACAAAAAACGTCACAACTCCGTGAGTTTTCGTCCGTTTTGCGCCAATCTTGAGATTCGAGTAGTCTGGAATATCTTCTACAAACGCCGTTAATGCATGTTTTGAGGTTTCCTAAGGTGGATTTTGCGTAAACGATCGCCGGAAGTAGGATGTTATACGAAAATGTATTTATGAAAAAATATTTTTAATTAGTTTGTTATGCTTGTAAATTTTTAAATATTTTATAGTTTTATTAAAAACTCATCTCCTTTAACATATTTGACATTAGCATAACCAAAAAGATGAGTTTTTTGGGGGTTGAGTAGTCAGAATAAGGTGAAAAAACGTATAACTCTTGTAAATAAATCGTACGTACGTACGGTACGTAAAAAAAATTTTTTTATCGTAGCACTAAATAATGTTTTTAAAGATAAATTTAAAAAAAAAATTTAGTTTATTATGATGTGTCGTAACGGGTTATTGCACCATGTTGCTACTCGAATAACCGCGGGTTCGAATAATGGCGGGTTCGAGACTGGGCTTTGACTAATAAATCCCTCTAGCCCCCTGGTTGTCTAATAAACCACGTGTCCTTGACTTGGATTTTCGGTCATGTGATACTGGGGAGTTAGCCCAAGGACCGAGGGATATAAGTAACCGTCACATAAGCTTGATTCATCAAATAAGCTAAATTATCAATTTTTTTTTTCTTTTATTTAAAGTTTATAAAAATAATTGTCATGGTTGAAGCTGGAAATTTTAAATTTATTTTATCTATACCGGGAGCGGAGTGATATGTAAATATCACGAAGTGTTACCGGGAGCGGAGTGATATGTAAATATCACGAAGTGTATGGTTATATGGCGAATTAATGATGTATGTCCGCAAAATCTTGCATTTAATTGGGGTGTGGAATGAGGCGAAGTAGGAATGTGAATGCATATTGGGTTCATCACACGTTACATATTCGCATGCTTGTGCAACGCTTTGCTTATGTACTACTTGAATAATATATATGTATATGCTCATTCTTTAAACTTACCATATTCCGTTCGCCAAAGTACCCGTGTGATGCAATAGTTTTACAATTAAATCACGAGTATTACACATTACATGATGTCAAATAGATTTAAATTATCTTTTACTTTATTGAATTAAACAGATTTATGGGCCCAAATTGAATTGTAAAAACCTCGCGATTATCCATAGTTTAATCGATTGCATTCTTTTATGTAAAATGATTAAATTAAGAGTTGAACTTGAATTTTAAATTTATGAAAGATTTATTTCGTAATTACAATAACAGTATAAATGTTATACGCCGGAATGGAACTTGGTAGATTTAGAATAAACTTAAGTTGGTTCTAAATACACTTAAATTTAAGTGTACCTTTTTTGTAATATAATAAAAATTCATAAAATTGTTACGAAAAAATAAATGAATTCTAAGATAAATTTTGAATACATGATTCAAGGTGAAAAATATGGTTTATTTTAGAACAGAGTAATTTAAAGTGAAAACTCTAATAGGCTAGTGTTGACGGACGGATGGGTTTTAATATAAAAGATAATAATAGTAAAAATCAAATCAAGTATCCTCCAGACATTATTCAAAAAAAATTTTTTTTTAATTAATTATTTAATCATGTAAATGCAACTAATCTAGGTTAAATGTAATTACAATTTTTTTTCTAAAATACAAAACATCCTTTTTCCCACTACTCTTATCCTTACTTTTCAATTTAATAATCCGGAAATCCTTTAGAACTTGTTCACTCCTTAATCCCTTACTAATGGGAAATCACGTCTAATAAGTCACGCGAAACACAGATTACATAGACATAGATCGGTCTTTAGAAGATAAATTTTATCTTTCAAGTATTGCACATGATCAAATACGTAGTAGATTGTTCTAGTCTTAGTCATTGAACTAAGAAAAATGTTAAGAGTCAATCGGATTAGATTATGAATTAACGTTAACTATCATAGTGCTGTAGTGATGTAATTAGCGCTAGAACAATCTGGGTATTTGATCACGTAATCATAATGGGTCAAATCATGTGTATAGATTTGGAGTATAAGTATATCGATATAGCGATAGTCTAGTAGATTAATTTTTTTAAAAAATGCCACTTTCAAGATCGCGAGGAAAAGACACTGGTCTTGGGAAGGCTATTATTAGGGACAGATTTAAAGGAAATTCCAGACCCAAAGATGGCGATACAGCTCTGGTAACTTTAATTTAATAATGAAATATTGTCTTTTAATGAGGATCTAATTTTCTATACTTTTAAAGCATACAACAGATTTGAATGATGGAGCCAAATGGACGAAATTACAATCAATAACTCAACAAAGTGACCTGGATGAATTTTTAAGTACAGCTCAGTTAGCGGGAACTCAGTTTACTGCCGGTAAAAATTTGTATATTTTTATATAGACGTGCGCTCGAAGTTGGACATGTTTTATTTGATCAGGAAGAATAGAATTAGATTCTTTGCGATTAATTGGAATATTGACTTAAATCTTTATTTCAATAATACTATTTGATTTTAAATTCAAGATTATATTCATTTATCTTAGAAAAAATGAACATCAAAGTAATTACAAACACATATCAGAATCCTTTCCTTCTTAGTGCAGACAAAGAAAAAGAAACACTGGCAAGACATGAAGCTAATAAAGAAAGATTAGTTATACCTAGAAGGTAATAATCCATTATTCAACTTTGGCTGCTGTTATCAAGTTGTGAATATAATAATTCAAGTTTTCTTTTTTTTTTCAATAAGACCAAAATGGGATAAAACCACTACACCTGAACAGCTTGAAAGGAACGAGAGAAATGCATTCTTGCAATGGAGACGTGATCTTGCAGTGTAATAATAACTATTCTTTTGTTACGTTAAAATGCCAAATTAAACTTAGATCGAAATTTAACGTGTTATGTGATATGAATTTTTTGTTAATAAGTCTCCAAGAACAAGATAATTTTCTCCTTACTCCATTTGAACGCAATTTCGAAGTTTGGCGTCAGTTATGGCGCGTAATTGAACGATCCGATTTGATCGTACAAATAGTTGATGCTAGAAATCCTTTATTTTTCCGCTCAGAAGATTTAGAAAAATATGTAAAAGAAATAAATGAGAAGAAGAAATGCATGTTACTAATTAATAAGGCTGATTTATTGACAGCTCGTCAACGGTAGTAAAGATTTTTAGAGCTATGTAATGGAATTATCTTTATTAGATTTATATTGACCTTTAATCATTACGAATAGACGTATATAGGCTGATTACCTTGACTCTCAAGGGATTCGTCATATTTTTTTTTCGGCTGTTTTGGCGCACGAAAGACTTGAAAAAAAGCAAAATATGCGGACTGATAATGAAACTAATTCTTTTGTTGATGAAAAAGAAAAGGTAGCTTCATATTTACTAAATTTTTTTATACTAAATATATGTAATTAATGTGTAATTTATTTTATTTTAAAATAGGAGAATTTCGAAGAAAATCCATTAAAGGAAAAGCATACAAACGTTGAAAACGACATATCAACAGACAATTTAAGCGAGAATGATGATGAAATGTCGGAACATTCAAATACTAACGAACAAGAATTTTTGGAAAACCATAATACCGATGATAAATCTGATCATCGAGAACGTATTAGTACAACCGAAGATTTAATTTCTATGCTAGTTTCTGAAGCGAAGGAAGCGGGAGGTTCGATTTAATTTCCTAAACTTACTGCATATTAATTAATCATTATGCATTATATTTATAGATACATATATCAATTGATTTTTTCAAATTAGTTAACCAAGATCAAAAGATAACAATAGGATTGGTTGGTTATCCTAATGTGGGTAAATCGTTTACAATCAATGCTCTTCTTGGAGAAAAGCGAGTTTCGGTTTCATCAACTCCAGGAAAGACCAAACATTTTCAAACCATACATCTCTCACCTTCGCTGGTACTATGTGATTGTCCAGGATTAGTTTTTCCAAATTTTGCGACAACAAATGGTGATATGGTTTGCAATGGCGTCTTACCTATTGACCAATTACGGGAGCATACTGGACCCGTTGCGTTAATTGCACAGAGAATACCAAAAGCTATAATTGAAGCCATATATGGTATTAAAATTAAAGTTAAACCAATTGAAGAAGGTGGTACAGGAATACCTTCAGCAGAAGAACTAATGGTAGCTTATGCAGGTAAACCTTATCCCCTTGTATTATCATTAATTTTACACTTTATGAACTTTATGAATGATAAAATTTTGTATTATATTAGTTTCTCGCGGTTATACTAAATCAGGACATGGAAGTCCCGATGAATCGCGAGCCGCAAGATATATATTGAAAGATTATGTGAATGTAACGTATATATTAATAAATTAATATTTAATAATTTTATCAAATTTATTTATCATTATTTTGTTTATAGGGAAAACTTCCGTATTGCCATCCTCCGCCAACTGGAATATCAAAAGAGGAATTCAACGCAGAGATACATGATTTAAAACTTTATACTAAACCGACAAAAAAGAAAACAATTATTCAACCCGTACCCTCGACAGTAAATACAGAAGTAGCATCTGATGGTGTAACACCTATGATAGGAGACATTTCACGGGAACTTGACAAGTCGTTTTTTATTAATCAGTCATCGGGGGCAAGAATTACAGGCAAATATTCTGCTGCAGGAGAGTTTAACAGAGTTAAACTCTATCCAATTCATGGCACATTAAGCGATGGTGCTACCCCGACTAACGGATCTCGATTGACATCAAATATGGGACCAGGTAAAAAGCGCCACTGGAAAGGAAGAAAGAATCAAAAACAATTTAAGATATAATAAAAAATGAAAGTCATATTTTCTTTGTACATTCTATCGCATATTAAATAATTTATCATCTGTTTCATCTTTTCATCTGTTTTCAAAAAAAATTTTTTTTTTTTTAATGCGATACGGAATTCATATTAAAAATTGAATAAATTTTTATACAAATTTATTCTAATGTAAAAGACAATATAGTATATAGTGAATAAACACATGAAATTGAACATATGAAAATATTTATTATGATAACCCAAAAATTTAGAAATTGATAATTTTACAATATAAATTGATTCTGTGTTACCCTAACCATAAGTGTATAATAAATTTCCGGATAGATAATAAAAATGAACAACTTTTATATATACATAGAACGAGAATTTGCATAGAAATTTTCAAATAATGAATTCTTCAAAAATAGATTAATAATTTTTAGAACCACCAGAATGCGTTGATTGATTATAAAATTGATTATTTTGCAAATAATAAGTGGAATTTGGTTGAGACGTAAGTGGAATTTGATAACTTATATATGGATTTATTTGAGGAGAACCTTGACGATTTAAAGGTTGTTGAGGTTGTAATTGCACAGGAACCTGAGATAATTGTTGAGCACGACTAGTTGTTGGTAAGATATTTTGTTGTAAAGAACGAGACGAAGACGTTGAAGTTCTACGTTGATTTGAATTTGTGATCTTCGTCTGCTGGGCCATTTGTATTAAACTTTTTGTGTAAACTCTTGGGAATATACCAACTGCATCTTTGCCTTTAACACGGCCACGCCACCAGTCATCGTTAACATGCTCAGTTACTTCTATGTGATCACCTTTTTTGAAGCTCAAATCACCAGTATCAGATCCATTGAAATCCCATTGAGCTTCAACAATTTGAGGACTATAAGCAGGTAACATATCATGTATTTTTGGAGTCCTATTTTGATTAGCATAAAATTCAGCTTCTTGTTGTTTACTGATGAAATTAGGTGGCACTGTAGGGTGCTGTGGAGGAGTATTATTTGTCGAATTTGGTGGACATGGTAGAGGACCTCGCGACATAGAATATCTTGGAGTTGGAGTTCTAATAGTTGTTTCGGAGATTGGAGTACTAGTAGTTGTTTCGGAGATTGGAATACTAGTAGTTGTTTCGGAGATTGGAGTAGGTTGATCAAGGTCCTCTTTGCCAGGTATTTCTGGTTTATGCTCTTGTTGATCGTTTATAGATGACAAAGGTGATTGAGAATCTGTAGCACTTTGAGAATGTAAATATTGTATCTCTCGTATAGATGTGTTTTTTGATTCAGAGTGTACAAGTTCGGAATCTACTTTTGATTGTTCAGAATGTACAGAAGGAGCTGGCGACCCTACTTGAGGTACAGGTACAGGAGAACTCCTTGGTGAAAGTACGGCTGGTGAATGTGTAGCAGCAGGTAAAGCAGGCTTTGGTAGTCTTTCTATTATTTCCTGAAGTGCAAAGTCTGAAATATACCGTTGTGTGTTAAGAAACTGCAAGTCCCTTAGAATTCCCGAAAGAATATGTAATATGGGAGGATCTAAAGGTGGAGAAACTCCGTTAGAAAAAGTAGAAGAGCGCTTTGCGAATGATGTAGTAGGTGTAGTAGGTGTGATAGGTGTAGGGTTATTTGAATCCATTTTTTTATGTATATCGAACGTTAATACACAGTAAAATATGAAGAACTGAAGATTGTTTTCGATTAATCAGTTTAAATAACGATAATTAATCATTGTTCACATAATTGATCACATGTATACTTTCTAACTCCGAAAAGTCCGATTTAGATCAATCACTGATTTTTTTTTTGGCTAATCATAATGATAATCGTAGTACTTAAATTACAGTTGTAATAATTAATTCCAGACACTTCCAAGCAATTTTTGCGTAGCAAAAAAAAACAATGCACATAACGCAAACTGTTTTAACGCAACAATACAATTCAACACCAATGATTAGATCAAATTAATATGCATATATTTGTTAAACTAAATTACAGAATTCATGAATTATGAATACTGGATGTACTAAAAATAATCTTTCGCTTGATCATCCATGCATAAAATTATTAATGCTAGATTTTTTTTTTTAGTTAGTTTTGGCAACTATTCCCAGATTTATTCTTGTTATTTTTAAAACTAGTCCAATTCAAGATCTCACGAACAATAACTAGATATTTTGTAAAGATTCGATGATCGTACCGTTGAGTCTGCAGTTTATTTGCCAGGGAGTATAACATTGTTAGTATACGTACGTACTCAGTGTTGGCTTGACCAGACCAGTTTGACCATTGGACCAGACCAATTTGACCAATTTGACCGGTCCGGTCAAAGGATCTGTACTGGTCAAATTGGTCAAATAGTATATTTAAATATAGTTTATTATATAATGTATATATATATTTATATAATTGATTTGACCAGTTCGACCATTTGACCAATTTGACCAGTAAAATTTTGGTCGACCAATTTGCCCAACACTGGTACGTACTGTACGTACGTGAATGAATGCGTGTCAGTATATAGCATAGTACTGTAATAAATGTTGGGAATTAGTTCTCGATTTAAAAAATATGCTCTTTTATTATAAAAATTAACTCTAAACTCTAACCTAACTATAAAAAAAAATGTACCCCAAAAATTTTGAAGATTAAAATATTTACAATTTACAGCTTCAGCCAGCTTCAGCCGTGACAATAAATTTACAAATTGGAAATTAAAACTGCAGCGAAAAAGAATTTTCATTAAAAAGGTGAATTATAATGTGATAACGATTTATCGCTATGTTATTACTAACTTTAAAAAGTGAGCACTTAGAGGTGCTGAATTCTACATGCCTTGCCAGCCACACTATCTAACTGCTAACGCTAAATTTATTGTATTGTATTACTTTAATAACTACAATTCTGCATTATCTACATTATCTACATCTGATGAAATATAAGACATTTATATAAAAATACCTAATTTGTGTTATTTATACGTATTAAGATCGATATATATGTATATATATATATCGATATATATATTTATTTATTTATTTATTTGTCACGCAAAGCATATGAATTGATTGACAAAAACTGCAAAAACAAAATGGTCTAACGAGTTATAGTTTGATATTGATGCACCTCATAAACTATACCGAGTTAGCGAATATTTTTCAATGGTTAAGAAATTCACAAATACTACTGGCATATCGTTGCAACAAGTTATGCATGGTCTCCAACCATATCCATCTTCACTTCGAACTTCCAGCACGTTGACTCTCAAATGTCAAAAGTTCTGAGAAAAGCAACAACTTGGTTTAGCAATTTTTAAAGCCTTTTTTGCTAAAAAATTTATCTGGTGCAAATAATAATTTATTAATGCGTTTGAACGAAGATGAGTCTTCGGGATTTCTGTTCATATTTTTCAATTCCTGTTACTGCAGTAAAGTGGTAGAAGAAAATATTCTGGTACTTTCTTGAGGTAAGAGCCTTCTAGCCTTACAGTTACTCCCAAATTTGGTTAAACCAAGATCATAGTGATGCCGCACCTAATTTCTTGTTTGGGTCAAAATCCTGATGAACAGAATCCTGACAGGGTCAAAATCCCAACAAAATTAGCCAGGATTAGCTTAATGTTGGCCAATTTTTTAGGAATTTTGACCCTATCGGGATTCTTATTTTTGGGATTTTGACCCAAACCCGAATTCTAGTTAGTTAACATGTATATAAACCGATGTATTCGCCCTTCTTGTATCGGCAGATTTTTGGTCTTAAGTTGGCCCTCATGAATATATAACAAACTCATCGTGTTCTCTATCTATTCTATCTAGAGATGTGCGTTTTTTGACTCTGCATTACATAATGCAACATCATGTCACATGATGCATTATGCAACTCTGTATACATCTGACTTTTATCAAGAATAGCTCTAATATCGATATGTGATTATATGTACATCTAAAGATGTTAAGAGAGATTTAACCATTTTGGAATTTAAATCATTATCGTTATCTGCTATTGTTAAATAAAAATCGGTTAAACTAGTTGGTTTATCATATGATAACTAGTTTATTCTTCGCATAAGTAATAACTTGTTTGATTATTTTGTTTAAACGGTTGAACTTACAAAAATTAATTAATATTTACATTTGTTATATGTTAACATAAAATATAAAGCTAGATATCAAAAGTAAATTTTACTCTTGAAAACTACTTTATTATACGAACTTCTTTTTTATGAGATTACTAATTAAAATATTAAATAATAAAAATTTCATTGAGTTAAATTTATATAATAATTTCGATGTACATTTTTAACTTTTAAACCATCTACGTACATTACATTATGCGACATTATGTCTTGCATAATGTAACATGCATTATGCGCATGTCACTCTTGTTGAACTTCGTGATCAAATGCTCCGTACAATTTAGTCGTAGTTTAGACTTATTTTGTATTGTCTCATCTTTTATTTTGACGAAATGGAAACACTGTAAACTATTTCACTCATTATCATTGTAATGAAATCTACATCTAACCCTATAAGAATTAGGGGGCGATGAAAAATTATACTCTGACCCAACGTTGATCTATTTTGGCACTTATACTATCTGATTCTCACCCAAACTTAGATGGTAACAACCGAAATTGTCATTTATTGTATCCTTAACGTTAAACTTCGAAGTGCATATTTACTTACCTGTGTTACTAACTTTCTCGTTACTATCAAGTTAATTGGACCTTATACGTACTTAATAGCCTTCTTGATAGTAACACATGAATGCAAACTGCACAAGTTTGATTATAGTAATATGAAACTAAAAATAATAAATACGTATGAAAATTTAAAAAGTCTAAAGTTTTATCAAGAAAAAACTTTTTTTTGCATTCGTTAAATAATGGAAATATTAAGTTTCATCGGAATAATTATCTTTTTATATATTATACATTTTTACTTTCGTTATTATACCCGTCCAAACCCTCTTCCTGGACCATTTCCATTGCCATTTATTGGTACAATTCTTCAAATTGGGTTAAACCCTCGTAAATGGGCTGAAAAAAATTTAGATGATTCTATTGATATGTGGGAGTTTTATGTTGGCCCTTTTCGGGTTGTAATCGTCTGTGATGCAAAATATGTTGATAAAATATATTTATCATATCGTGATACGAATAGATTATACCGTGAATCTAAATTTTCTAATCGTAAAATTGCTGCTTATGATGAATTTGGAATATCAAAGGGTGTAATATTTAATGGTGTTTTCCATAAATGGAAACGACTCCGGCAATTTGTTACAAAAGTTTTAATGTCAAAAAAGTACCATTATGGGTTCATAAATAGTGTTCAAGAAATATTTAAGGAATATGAAAATCAATGGGATAAAAATGACGTTGTAACCTTAGATATTTCCAGTTGGGTATCTTATTATAAAACAAAATTAACAATCACAACTGTTATTGGACAACCATTATATAATTTATCATCATTTGAGTCAATTTCCAAGGCTGCATCTGAATATATTGCAATGATGCTTTTCGTAATCCTTATACCAAAATTTATTAGCAGAATTGTTATGTCAATTGGATTTCGTAACATGAAAAAAAGCTCTATTTTTTTGAATGGTACAATGCATGAAATAATTCTAAAACGCAGGAATGAGATTAAGAATGGATCACCAACGAATTTTAATTTACTGGACCTATTGTTGATTTCTAACTCATCAAATGATTCTGACGAATATATAGAGGGTGAAAAACCTATGGATGATGATGAAATTGAGATCAATCTTGTTGAAATTACTGCTGTTTCTATCGATACGGTATTTATCAGGTTTTTTTTGTTATATAATCAAATTATGAATACTAACCAATATTTGATTATAGACCAGCTCTACATTTTGTTTCATCATTTATAACGTTGCCAAAAATCCTTCAATTTATAAAAAACTTCGTGCTCAAATTCTTGAAGTATTTGGCTCAAATACAAATTCAATGGTCACTTATGAAGATCTTGAAAGGTGTTATTATATAGATGCATTGATTAAAGAAACCTTACGTCATTCAAATCCAGCTCCATACGTTTTACGTGTACTTGATGGTTATGAAAGCACAGATAAAATTCATTGGCCATCTGGAACATGGTTCTTTGTTGATAATCACCGAATAATGAATAATTCTAATTATTGGAATGAACCAACGTACTTTAATCCCGATAGATTTCTTAGTAAAGAACATGGAGGTACTGATGAATTTAATAATATATGTAAGAATGGATATGTGCCATTTGGTGGAGGTTTAAGAATATGTCCAGGAAGAAATATCGCATTAATTGAGCTAAAATTGCTTATAGTCTTATTTTTTCGAAAGTATAATGTTGAGTTAGTAAACGAAAATGAACCAATTAAATATGTTTATAGGGCAATTAATCAAGTCCATGACTTAATAATTAGAATATCTCATATTCCCCCAGCATCACCAGGGCAAATAATGGAAACATGATTAAAATGTTATTTCAAACTGCTCCAACGAATGGGAACATGACTAAAGATGGAATAAATAAAATTATTTCAAACACTTCAAATTGGTTCTGTTTTCATGTTTTCAAAATTATTAAGATTTTATATATTTCTAAAATTCTTGATCTCTATTGCATTATATATTTTTTATTTTTAGAACATTTTTTTTTTTAGTAACTTATTATATACGTAAAATAGGTTAGTCATGGCAAAAAAATGTCCAGATCACAAGGTCAACGATTGCTTCCGACCTTTTTGACTTAGCCTGATAAACCATTTGTTACACGAAAATTAAATCAATATTAACGTTAACGTTAATACCGATACGTATTGTTAACGTTAATCCTTATAATAAACATAATTGATTTTATTTTCGTGTAACTTATGATTTATCGGCTACGTCAAAGAGGTCGGAAGCGATCGTTGATCTCGTGATTTGGACTTTTTTTTGCCATGACTAACCTATCTATATACGAATGCGGGTATTAATTGCACTAAAAAAAAAATCATTTTTGGGAAGTACCAAGAGTTTTATACTAGCAAGAGTTTTCATCAGGGGTGCCACGAACGAAAAACATCTCTTCAAAAAAAAGGAAAGCTTTAAATAAAAAGGGTTTGTTAACAACCCGGAATAATAACTCACGAGTCATTTTCCAATATTAAATTTTCTTTTAACGTAATAAACTTGTCCCATACTTTATTATTTATTTCATGATAAGCTTGTTTGGTCGGTTAAAATGTTCCTAATAATTATCAACATATTTCGACTTAGTGATTGGATCCGGATACTTAAACGGATATCGGATAGATATCCACTTTACAGCTATTATCATAATTCCTGGGATGCCTGTAAAAATTTGCCGATTAAGTTATTGATTCGGTATGATCCGTATAATAAAATAATTACAGCTGTTTTCATTATTCCTGGGACATCTATAAAAAATTAGTCGAAAATTTTTTTCGGCTGGTAATTTTTTCGGCATAATAAATTCAATAAAAGTTGATATAATACAATTAGTGATGGGACCTTTGAGTTTTTAGTTAATAATAAAAAAATTAATAATTAGTTATTAATATTATTAATAGTTAATAATTCAAATCATCGCTAATAATAGATTATAATAGAAAATCTCAATTTAAAAATCGAACTTATGTTATGATGTAATTTTTATTTCATTTTATTGATCGGAAAAATAAGTAATAAATAAATTAAAAGTTTAATTTATTAAAATACTACGTATATTGATCAATACATAAATATAATTTATTCGATAAAAATTTTTTAAATTATTCGATTTCAAATATCACAACGTAAACTTGGAAGAAAAAAGAAACCAGTTTGGCAATGGTTTCATGAAGGCGAAAAGCTTAATAGTTCACACTATATAGCTCATTGTGATTTTTGTCATGAAAAATGTCCCGGTTAACCTTCAAAAATGGAAAAACATTTGTTGGAAAAATGTGAAGAGATTAGTCAAGATGAGCGTAATGATATTAGAGAGATTTTAAAAAACAATGAAATAAACTTACAAAAAAATAATTCACAATCTCCAACTAATAATGATAATCATGCAAATACAAATATTGTGGAAATCGAATCTACTTCATTATCTACTGGAGAAAAGGCATCTTTTAACTGTCAATTACTCAAAGCATTAATTTCAGCCAATGCACCATTATCCTTTGTAGAGGATCCTAAAGTAATTAAACTATTTCACATGATAAAACCTGAATATAAACTTCCATCTCGTAAATGGATAAGCACAGATATTCTGGATAATGTACATGAAACTGTATGGAGCAATATTCAGCGATTTATATTAGAGTCAACATTTTTAACCTTATCTGGTGATGGGTGGACAAATGTTTCAAAAAATAGCATGTTAAACTTTATTGTAACAAATGAAAAACATGAAAGTCAGATTTTAAAAATTGATGATTATTCTAATTTGCGTCATACAGGTAACAATATATTTGAGATTTATAAAGAAATTGGAATGGGTCTTGGCTTAAATAAATGGATTGCTTTTATTTCAGATAGTGGATCAGATTTTAAAAAAGCACAATGTCTAATACGTGAAGATCATGATATTGGTAGCAAAGTTTTAACAATACCATGCATGGCATATCAAACCAACTTATTGGTTAAAAAAATTGTTGATTCATCATTTTTCAAGCCAGTTATTAAAAATATGCTAATAATTATTAATCACTTCCGAAATTCTAATATTGCATTATCAAAATTAAGAGAATTAACTTACAACAAAACTTTAAAACCACAATATCCATGTATTACTTGTTGGACTACATTTACCAAAGCATCAGAAACTGTATTAAAAATTCAAATAAGTTTAAAGATTATTGTACTTATGCATTCATTCTGTTTAGCTTTGCATGAAAACAACCTTAGTGATATTATTAACAATAATGAATTCTAGATAAATCTTGAATTGTTTCATTTATTATTAAAGCCATATGATTATATAATTAAAATTCTTGAAAGTGAAAAGGCTACATTAGGTCAAGTGGCTGCATCTTGGACATGGTTACGTGAAACTATTAATAGAAATTTATTTGCTGATAATGATTTTTAAGAATCACTAATTAAAGAAATTGATGCCCATTGGGAAAAAATATATAATCCTGTTTATTTAATTACTTGGTTTCTTCATCCTTATCATCATGGAGAAGAATTAAACCCAAAATGGCTTTTATATATTCAAGAAGCTGCATATGGAATGTTTTGTACCTTTTATCCGAATGGTGATCAAGATAAATTTATTGATGAATGGTTAAACTATGCAAATAAAGAAGGTCCATTTTCAGCATCATCAATTCAAAACCCAAGTTTTACACATTTTCCACTTCGATATTGGCATACTTTGCTTCCTGTAGCACCAAATTTAAGTGAATTTGTATGCTGTCTTTTGTCAATCCCACCCAATTCTGCAACTTCTGAACGAGTATGGTTTTTGTTAAGTAACATACATACAGAACGTCACAATCAGTTTATACCTTCCCGGGCAGCAAAAATGGCTCAAGTTTCTTGGTATATAAATCAACAATCAAAACAAACAAACAAAAAGTCTCAAATTTCTAAAAATTGATATCAAATAATGTAGAAAAAAATAATTTATACAATGAAGATGATGACAATGGCGATATAAATGAAAATGACGATGATGTGGATGAATTTGAATCAACTATCCAACCAATTGATAGACGATATTCACATATTTGAAACAAATAGTGAAACATCTATTCCAACACTTGCGGATATTTTTGATTCTGAGAGTGTTAAAAATTCATTAAATTTTTACATTCAACAATTGTATATATAAATATTAAATTCAAGCTTTAGCAAAAATATAGATGCAATGTTTATAGAAATCATGAAATGCAAAAGAATGAAGAACTTGGATTAAAATGCTTAAATATGTCTTGTAGCAATTTGAAACTTAGATTTGAAACTTAACATATGTAAATTCGTTAAAAGGCATTATTTTTATTTGACAATTTAAACTATTTTGCTTGTAATGTTTTAGTTAACTTGTAATTACCAGTAAATTCGCAAGTTTATTTCTCATGTCTCAATTAATTCAGTAAATAATTTAAATATTCTCCTGCTTTTGAAGAATTTAATAAGATAAAATTTAGTTTGAAAATATCCGAACAACTATTTGAATAAATATTACATGATAGAACTTTTTCTATATTTGCTGTGCCATATATATAGAATTATTAAATAGTTATTAGTTAATAATTCAACCGATCATTTAATAATTATTATTAACTATTAATAATACAGGAGGTCCCATCACTAAATACAATAATATATATATAATTTAAAATCAGGTAGCTAATATAAATATAAAATTATGCATATCTCTTGTTGAATTCAAAAAAATATGATATTTTCAAACCACATTTGCTGGCAAATTATTGAAAAAAAATTTAGAAGGCCTATCAACTCAAAAAATTGCAAAACACTTAGGTGTTAGCAGGTCTTCTATAAGTCAGAATATTGTGCATTTTCAAAGATATGGTTGTATTGGAAAACTTCTATTGCTTTCAGGAAAACCATGTTTTTTAAACATGAATGATATAAATTATCATTAAGCTTTAATGAAAGAAAAACCTGACTGGTACTTGTATGAATTACAATCTGAGATGGAACTTTGATTGGGACAGTATTGGGACGTAACATTAGTCTTACAACTTGGATATATGCACAAAAAGGTAATATTTCATATATTTATACATATTTTTATTTTATAAACTTTTAACAATTTTGATTTTATAGATTTCAAAACTTGCAAAAGAAAGAAATAAAGTCGATAGAAACAATTTCATTTTACGAATGTCTCAGTATACACCAATTCAGTTAGTTTTTTCAGATAGAACTGCTTATGACAAAAGAATATTATCTTGACGCTATATTCAAGAAGGTTCCATGAATTGTATTGATTATGAAAATTTTATTGAACATGTTTTAGTAAGAATCTTTATTATGTAATATATAAATATAGATATGTTTAGTATAATAAATAAATTTCTAATATTTATTAGTTTTTCAAAGGTTTCTATATTTTAATTGGCTCTCTAACTATCTCTTTTTATACTAATACAGAACTCTAATAATTATAACAGATATTATATTTGAGCTATTAGCAGATTTTTAGCAATTTGATTGGATATAATTTTTTTAGCCAATCAAACTGCTCAATTTTGCAAAATTTTGACTTCTGTTAACTATTTTTCAAATATGATCTCTATTAGTATTGTTTAAAGTTTTACTAATACTACTTGCACTATTATTTATACTATTTTATTAATTATGTTACAATTGGTTTCCAAAAATAAGTTACTATTTTTTAGAAAAAAAGTTATACAAAAATTATAGGGTAGCTTATTTTTGGGTACAATTAATTTTTATCAATTTTTATTAGCCACATGTAGTTGCTACATATAAAAGTCAAAATTCTACTAAGTAAATCGACAAAAGTCACTTAGTTAAGATTGTTCAGAAGGTAAAATACATCTATCCTAAAAGTTTTATACAAATTGGAAACTTTTTACTAAGATGTTTTTGCATTTTACATTTAAATATAAAATACAAAAATATCTTAGTAAAAAGTTCTCCAATTTGCTTGAAACTTTTATGATAAGTATATTTTTATCTCCTTAACAATTGCAATTAAGTAACTCTTGTTGATTTACTTAGTAGAATTTTAACTTTATATATAGCAACTATATGAAGCTAATAGGAAATAGAACAAAAGTGTTTTTTATATTTCTCTTCAAGAGAAAAGGGTAGCTTCTTTTGAAGGTTGCTTATTTTCAAAAACATATGGTATATTTTATGTAGTATTCAAATGCTTTATTTAATTTTAGTTATATAGTCATCCCTCCATATAGTCACCTCCTATATAATCACATTATATGTAATCACATTATATGTAATCACATTTTTATTTAGGCCAAACTATAATTTAATTTATAAAAAAAAAAACCTCTATATAAGCACAACCTCTCTATAAGCACATTTTAAAAAAAAGTTACTATGTGCCTAACTGTGTGATTGTATGGGAGGATGACTGTATTTTTATAATAATACTTTTAATGAAATTTTATTGCTTTAATTTTATACTAAAAGTAGAAACTAACCTTATTTATTATATTCAAATTTTTAACTTAGCTATTTTTATATAATGCTTAAAAGCTTTTTCATTTTTCTTAAAACCAATATTATATTAATATTTTAATTGTTTAAAG